CTTTTCAAACCTATGACAATTGGGCTGAGCACTTGTTGAAAATCTTACCATTGAATGTATTATGGTTGCATTATATTGTAGCCCAGAAGTGGTGAACAGGATCTCTTTCTTACATGGCAGATGTTACAGCATTCCTTTTGTTCTTTCATACTCCTCTTTTCCCTGTCAGTTCTCATCATGGCTCATGCCTGTTTATGAACTCTGGTGGTCATCTCTTCCTTGCTTTCCCCTGAGCACAGGTGTGAAGCCCTTTGAGTGTCTGACGTGCGGGGTGGCCTGGGCCGACGCGCGCTCCCTGAAGCGCCACGTGAGGACACACACCGGGGAGCGGCCGTACGTGTGCCCAGTGTGCAACGAGGCCTACATAGATGCCCGGACCCTGCGGAAGCACATGACCAAGTTCCACAGGGACTACATACCCTGCAAAATCATGCTGGAAAAAGATACTCTTCAGTTTCACAACCAGGGGACGCAGGTGGAGCATGCCATCAGCATTTTAGCGGCAGACGTGCAGGAGCAAGAAACCGAGATTAGCTTTGGTGCTGGTGAGGGTGAGACTGTGGTAGTGACAGGGGAGACGCTTGAAGCCATCGAAGCAGTTGCAGCTACTGAGGAATGTACATCAGTCTCTACTCTTTCTGACCAAAGCATCATGCAGGTGGTGAATTATGTATTGGCACAACAGCAAGGACAGAAAATGGCTGAAGGGACCCAGGCCATTGAAACTGTAGAAGTAGAAGTGGCCCATGTTACAACAACAGAGTCCATTTAGTGTATGAGAAAGCATGAAGAGTGAGGTGTTACAATCTGTGAGAGGCAAGTATTGAATGGGTTATCTGGGGCTTTCAGTGATGCCTGTTTTCAAACAGTTACTCCTCAGTACTGAACATTGTGGTGACGAAATACTGCACCACGCACTAGAGGGAAAAAGTTAAGATGCTCCAGTGTGGGCCAAGGCTTTGAAAGCTAAGATGTCTGTACTGACCATAACTGAAAGAAAAAAAAAGTTAGAATAATGTTTTTTGTGTCATGGAGTAAGTATCATGCTGTAACTTAAAAATTAAACCATATAAAAAGACTGCACTAAAAACTAGAAATGCACAGCTATCAGTAGCTTTCTTTTTTTGTTTTAATGTGCATTTCCTCAGGTTTGTGAGCAAATTACTTCTATTGGATTCTGTCTGTTTACTCCCCAAGACAAGGGGGTGTTAGAATGCTTTGTGCAGCATGTGCTTCATGTGACATACAAAAAAATTGAGGCTTTTTTATTTGGGCAGAGGCACCATTGGCTGTTAGTGAATCCCAGTTTGAAGAATTGACTTAAATTCTGGGTCGGTGGGTGGCAGTCCAAGGTGCAGCAAAACACTGTTAAAATCTTTTACACATAATGGGCAGGGATCTTCTGAAGGCTGAGAAAGTGGTTCTCCAAGATTATTGTGAATTCAAGTTGACCAGAGGACAGCCGACTGCAGGGAGACTCCTTAGAGAAGTCAACTCCTTTTCATTTGTAAGGGAGGAGCTTTCCCTGCAGCCTCCATGCACAGCCATGTTTAGGTCAATGTTTGGTTGTCTAAAGGAAGCTGTCGCCAGCACTGATGTCTGTACCCAAAGCAGGCAGCCTAATGATGGATGTTTCTAGTTTTGCTTTACATTTAATGTACAAACTCTCAAATGAAAAAGGTGTAGCAGCACACTTCTTTGGGAATGTAAACATGGTGAAGAAGTCCATCAGTTATGATCTGATCTTGTAAGGAGGAGGAGCCTTGCTAATTCCCAAACTGGACACACAGCAATATCAGGATAGAGAAATAGGAAAATCTTAGTATGGGGTAAAAATCAGATTTCTCTCAAAATTACCAGTGTCTCTAGAAGACCTTATTACTGCTGCTGTAAGAAAATACTTCTAGGGCCAGTTAATTACCCAGTGTTATACCACATAGATGGAAAAATCCTTACTAGGTGTTTCTGCAGCCAGGTGTGAATCGCAGCCATGCTTGGCCCAAGTTTACATGTTCCTTATTTAATACCACCAACAGTGCACATCTTGATGTGTACAAGGTGTGGGTTCTTTTATTGTTGGTTGTTTGGGTTGTTTTTTAAGCAAGCAGATGTTTGTTGAGGTAACTGAAAGTGCTTTGCATATGAACAATCAGAACTGTCTTTAAATTATTCTCAGTCTATAGTGGTATCAAATATTTCCTCATTTGGACAGTGGCAAGATACCCAAGGAGCCAGAAACCTGTACTATTGCAGGGTAAACTTCATAAATAAAACAACGTGCATATAATTCTGTGCTACAGAAACAGATCCACTGAAGAAAATTTAAGAAACCCTATGGCAAAGTAACCACCTCATTTGAATTAGTATTTCTACCTTTCATCTTATTTAACTATGTGAGTATCTGTCTACTAAGCTACAGAGTGGACTGTTCTTTTTATACTTTGCAATCCTGTAGATAAGCAGTTATTGAAAATTTTTCAGCAATGTGTAGTTTGAGTTCCTGTCTTGGATCCAAATTAATTTGTAGATGTCTATTTCAAAGTTCAGGGTCTTCCTTCAGAAAAATAATGTAGTTATTTATACATCCTGCAGCCCTTTACAATTGTATTATTTTCTAATTACCAAATGGAATAAAACTAAAATTAATATTTAAAAAAAACACTGCTAGCTGTAACTTGAATTTTTTATGGTCAAGAATCTGGAGATAGCCATCCTGCTTAAAATTAAAATACTGCCATTATGATGAAAAAAATATTTAAAAGAGCACTAGGTAAAGTTTAAGTTTACTTCAATGTTTTTATCCTACAAATTATTACTAAAGTGAAGAAATGTTCAAGGAAAAATAGCTGTAAATAATGCTAGAACATTATTTGTATATTTAGTGTGTTACCTTACAAAAAGAATATTACCAGCACCTTAGTTTAATCTTTGGTGCGTTTATTTATTTGCCCAACCTATGGAAGAGGCAGAAGTGAATGTGAATTTCAGAGCCTTCCTATCCACTGTAAAAATGCTGTAACTGACTCAATAGACTGCTCTTTAAAAACAACAACCAACCAAACAAATCCCAAAAGGTTGTTTCCTAAACTAGGTTCAGCCAGGAATGTCAAAGCTGAATGTTGTGCGCCCCTTTCCTGACACGCTGTGCCTTACCTTTCCAGAACGGCGTGAGGTAAGTAGGGAGTGTCACTTTTGGCTTTGCTGTTCCCACGTATGTGTTGCCTTACATTTTTCTTTAGACTTCAGCACTTAAGATGTTCACTACCCTTCTGCAATCTATTTGAAGTCAGACTGCAAATATGCAGTTGATATTTGATTTTTTTAAAATAAAATTCATGAGAAGTGTCCATTTATTAAGTATTCCTGGTGAATTCCTGTACATAATTAATTTGATTTGTACATTCTGCTCTTTTTATTTAGTGTTAGATGTATAAAGTTATGGTTAATTCTGTCATCAAATAAACGGAGCTTTGCCATGAATTACTCTTTCAAGAAACTTTTTTTGGCGGATGAGGAGGAAGGGGTTGCAGAATTGTTTATTCCTCCTCAGTATTTCTTTCCATATGTAGGCTAATGTCTGGTCTGAATAGTTCTAGGAAGGCCTGCTTTTTAATTTCTGCTTAAGGCTCAAAGAATTAACATGGATGAGAAAAGGAAACACACTGCCCTCCTGAATTTTGTCAGAACATGGCTCTGCAAGAGCACAGTGCTAACAAAACACCGTGTATATCGATACTGAAATCACTCTGGCTGCAAGGCCTCTTGCTGGGGGAGGCATCTCCTCGGCCCCCTGGCACCCGCTGTAACCACTGTGCTTTGTTTCAGGTGGTGGTTCTCTTGACTTGGGTTTCCGTACAGCGCTGGCACCCCAAGGCAAGCATCAGACAGCACTTCCACCTTGGCCTCTGCTCTGGGATGAATATTTGAGCAGGGGTTGGGGGGTGGAAATTGTCCTCCAGTGTCATCCTGGCTGAAGGATGAGCTGTACAGCTGCTCCTGGGCTGGGAACAGTGTCCTGTGCCTTTCCATTTGCTGTTACAGGAACTTCCAAGGCAACACCAATGGTGCAGAAAGTCTGATTATCTTTTGTGGTTCATCCTGATTCCTCAGGGAAGTGATAAGGGAACTTTTTAGTGTATTGGCTCTCTGTAAGTAAAAAAGCAAGTATATAATTAAACAAAAACAGGTTTCAAAGGCTGAGTGCTGAAGGAGTAACGTAGCCTACTGTTGAATTACTACTCTTCCCCAGGGATGCAACCATAGATGCAAAACAGCCACGTGATGTGTGGATAATTTTCACTCCCCCTTTGTTTCTACTTGAGCTAGAACTGTCATTCCTGGCTGTTAAAGGAAGCATGGTGAATTTCTACAGTGCTGGAGGGGTGTATATTGTGGTAACATTCAGGAGCCAGTCTTAGAGCTGCTGCTGACAGCGGGGTGGAACCCATCAGCTCTCAAGCAGTTCTTTACCAAGGCCTATTCTTGTGCAGAAGAGTTCCAGCTGCGGAAGGCGAGAGGCCCCTGGTCACTCTGTTGTCACCCTCAGGCCCAGGGCTGTTGGGGAACATGCTGACAAATCTAGTGTGACCTTGAAGGGGCTCTGCTGAAATTAAGTTGGTCTTCCTCCCCTGGGAAAAGTTTTGTCCTAGGGGCAGTATTTTGCCTTACAGATGGTAACAGCATTGCTGAATGATTTGGTGCTTTTAGATGTGCAATAGTCCAAGCTCTTGTCATGGCTTTAAATTTTACACGTGAACAGGACTCTTAAACAAGCATCGAAGTAACAAAAGCAAGGCACACCCTGAGACAGGCTGCAGTTTCACAACTGCCTGTTACTCACTGCAGTTCTAGACAGTGGCAGCTGGTCTGCCTGTGAACAGGGAGGGCCACCACAGTCACACTTCTTTCACAGAGGCACAGCTGTGATTCTGTAACTACTGAGCATCAGCCAACATGGTTTGTGTGACTACTATGTTTACTAATTATGGGAGGCTGGGGGAGAAAAGGAGAGATGTTTTTATTAGAACTTGCATTACCTTTACATTAATAAACTTGTGCTGCCAGGAAAACATCAACATACGCTCATGACTTCAAGTTTCAGTGGAGCTCTTGCTCCATTTGTGCATTTGTCACATCAGGAAATCCAATCCCAAAAACCAGATTTATGAACTACACCACAAGCTTAGCAGATGTTTGTAAGACCTCACTGCCAGTCCTCCCTCCTCTCTGCCCAGCCTGAAGGCAGCTGGCTTGGAAGTGTCCAGACCTCAAAAAGGCGTGTGCTGCAGTCTAAATATTTGCTCTGGTGACTAAATCTTGCTCGGCCTCCCCCCACTGCAGACTGTTAAATGAAGTTCATAAACAGAAACTGAACATGCTATATCCAGAGTTTAAGGGTAACGGTTCATGTTTTATGCTTTTAATTCCATGGATAACTACACTTCTCCTCTGAGGCAGTGGCTCCACATTATTAGAAACTAGCAGCTTTCCTAGGTAAGCACTATATAAGATGCCAGTATTTCAAAATTACAGAACAGTAGGAGATCCCTTCATTAATAAAACCAGAAGAAATAAGGAATGTTTACAGGATACAGTAAAAGGCAAATTGTTAATTGTCCCATATTTATGGTGTTCTTCCATCTCTTGCCAGAGGAACTAGACAACAAATTATTGTGGCTTTAGAACATTACCTTCCCTTTTGTAGCTTAAGGGCAGGACTGCTCAGCATTCCTCAGTTTGTAATTTTATAATGAATTCAAAAAACCCCAACCTTTTTGCAGAACAGCCTTTAGAGCTGCTAACTACAGAGAAAAAAAGCCTTCTTAAAACTGCTGCTTCTCCAAACAGATGTGTCTCACCTTACTCTAGACAGTTGTACTTACACCAGTGATTTCCAATAGTTTAAAACCCATCTGCCTCTTCAGGACGCAGAGACTGCCCTTTTCTCAAAAGCTGACTTTTCCTCCAAGTCTCTTCACAAAGCAAACTTTGGTAAAGCCACAGCCAGCACACAGAGCTCAGCACAGGGTGCTCTGTCAAGGGGTGCTCTGCAAACCTGGCAGACACACAGATGGAGCACAGCACATCTGGCAGCAGCTGTGGCTGCTGCCGTGACGCTCACGGTGGGACACAGAGTTGGTTTTGCTGAAGGTCAGGGTATCCTGTGACTGGCCATCCCTGACATGGCACAAGCCTGAGAAATGGCACCTTAGAGACACACTGGCTGGGACTTCTTCCTTCTAAAATCTTGATTCTGAGAATCTGGACAGTGCACCTCCCACACTCTAAGGAGTGAAATTAGTCAAGCCTGAAACACTGCCAGCAGTAGTACACTGCACTGTTCTGGGGTTGGGTTTTGGGGGGGGGGGGGGTTGGCTTTTTTTGTTTGTTTTGGTTCTTTTTCTTTGGGTTCTTTTTTTTTTTATTATTTTAATATAGTTAGCATTAGATGAGTTTGGATTCATTTACAACCCAGCAGGCCCAAAACAGCCCAGCTGAAGGGTAGCACAGGGGAGGTTACCAGGTAACTCCTCACATCACCTCATGTCTTCAATGTTCTGCAGGCTGCTCAGGTGCTAATTCCTGCTAAGCAAGCATAAGCCTTCTGAGATAAAACTACACAAGTTAGATGGACAGACATTTCAACCACTGACAGCTATACATACCTTGCTATTCTAAGAAATTAATGGTCTCAGCACACCTCCTGGAAGCACTTAAAGACAGCTAAATCAGATAGTTTACCAGGAGTTTCAGGATTCTTGAACATTCTTAGAAAAAAAAAAAAAGAGGCTCTCTGCACACAAAGACCATGACTATTCTAATATTCTAACAAGAGCCCACAGCTTCAAGTGAATTCCTAGGTAACATCTGCCTTTCAGGTCAGTCAGTTTGTTCTTTCAAGTATCAGACATTAAACACCAGCAGACACCTCGTAGCTACAAGATCCAGCTTGTCCGGCACTAAGTCCTGCAGGGACTGAGGCCACCTTGATCAATTCTCTTCCATGAAGCATCAGGAAGAGAACACTTGCATCAGGTGAGGCAGGATCACTGAGCTTTAGAAGCTTCTGCAGTCTCCCCCAGTCTATAATTATTTACTGACCATAGGAGTAAGATAGATAAATATAACTTTTGTTCTCTCACTGGCATGGAAGGTATTTCCTAGTGTGTCTGCTCTTCTGCTTGGCAATTTCCTAAATGATTTTGAAGTACAAGGAAACTCTGGATATGAGTGTCTACTTGAGCCCAAGATGTGGAAGACAGTGGTGGTATGTCAACTAAAAAATTACCAGATCTCCAAGCTATCTTCTTATTCAAAATTCTGTTTTGCTTTTTTCCTAATACAAGTGATCAACGTAATATGGAGCAACTACTAAGGAGCACGAGAAAATAGCTGTTCACTATGAATTACCACTATCTTAAAGGGATTTATTTCAACAAACATAACCACATGTGATGAAAATAAGTGAAAAGTTTGCCTTGCCTAGTTCCAGTAATGCCCAAATCTGTTTTGGAAGTCCTGAAAGTCAGTTTTGAAAGTGTGTTTTGTTTTAAAAAACCAAGTATTTCTGCTATGGAAAAAAAAAATAATGTATACATTTTTATGTTACGTTTATAACAAGGCTTTTAAAGAAAACAGTTACAGGTATTCAACTGCATCAGACTTCAAAAGAAAAAAGATTACACATACAATACAAAAATACAAAAAAATATTTTTTAGAACTTACAAACTCAAAAGTCTAAGTGGTCAGAGCTTTCCTAAAATAATAATAATAATAATAATAATAATAAAAAAATACACTTCAAGATGCACTCTCCTTTCTGCACTTGCAGGTTCAACTTCAGTACGAAGGTTTTAGAGGCAAGATAAAAGCAATTTGTATACTGAATTCTACAACCAGTTCCTGGCTGAAATTAATTTAGGGGTTGACACTATCAGGTATTTGAGTTTAAAAAAAACCCTTATGTTTGTTTGGGGTAGGGGGAACGTAGGTGGTGGTGTTGCTGTCGATAAATTTGTTTAACCAGTTCTGATAGTACAATGTTTTAAAAATAAGCAATCTAGATTAGACTAAAATTTAGACAGTCATTACTAAAATCCTACAGCACTGTTCTGCAGTATGAAAGCCAGGAAATTAAACTGACCAGACTAATGTCATGGCTGAAAATCACTGCAAAAGGCAGACAGGCAGGAAAAGGTCAAGTTTTATTTCTGAAGTTGACACTTGTTAGAAGCATTAGAACTGCAGACAGAGCATTCTTTGACCTGATAGTGTCCACTGAGGTCATAGCATCAAGGCATTTTGTTTTAAATGGCAAGACAGGGAAAGTGCATCTTGGATTTTTCATACTTAAGCAGTGAGTTACTGATTTTTGGTGTGGCTTTTATTCCTTCTAGGCATAGTAAAGAAAAATATTTCAACCAAATGTGAAGCTTAATGTACATTAGCTTGTATTTTTGGTGGTGGCTTTCGTGTACCACTAGGAAATGCTAACAAGCACTACTCAAGGCTAATGATTTAAGAGGAGCACACTGAAAATACTCATTTACCTTTGTAGTGAATATTCTTTACAGACTGTATCTAATATACAGACAAGGCCCATTTCCTTAGGATGAAACAGGCCACAGAAGGTTACACATCCTACATGAAGTTTAAAACAAAATTAGAACTAAGTTACCAGAGCCACTCAGAGCAAATAATTCCTACTTTGCGGAGACTTAACAAAAAGTTGACTGCAGGGAGAAAAAAAATCCAGGTTCTTATTTCCTGTGTAGATTATATTCAAATTAATAGTCCAGTAACACTTCTAGCACAAAACAATGCTCTCTCTTTAGCAGAATTCCTAGAAGTCAACTGTTTCTCCTGTTATGAAGAGGGAGCCAGAAGTGAGAATGCACGGGCATTCAATTTTAACCTGATTAAAGAGACAGTAACCTTTTTCATCCACCTTATTTAATCACTGACCAAAAAGAAAATTCTTAAAAAGGTACCACTCCAATTTCTTTATTATCTGTAACCTTTTGAAACTCATCACATGAACTACAAAATTAGCAAATGCCTTGAAATCTGTATAGAAAACATAAATTACCTCTAATTTCAAACTAATTCATTAGTGTACCACTCAAAATCTTAAAAAAGTGGCTCCAAAGATAGTCTCATACCATTCTTAAAAAAGGAAACTGTTCCTTTAACGTTACACCCTCCCCTCCCCCCAAACACCCAACTTGTAATCCACATCATTTAGTTATTTTCTTGGTCATGGACATTTCCAAGATGAGATTTTATATTTCGTTCCCATAGCTTCTGGTTGTCAGAAAATCCATGCTTTCCTTTATTGAAGGAATTTGGTCCTGCTGAAGTTGGTGTATCCCTGTGAAAAAGTAAAACAAGAACAGTTAAGAAAGTCAGCTCAACTACAGCAGTCTGTGCAATGTGACACTGAAAACACCAATTTCAAGTCCAATCTGCTGCCAGAAACTACCACACGTTTCTTTCTGTTACATCAGGAGTCCTCACTATCAGCAACGGCAAATTGGCCACAGAACTGATCTCTCCACAGCATCTCAAAACAGAGCAATGAGATGGGGCAGCAGGAGGTGGGAGTGGCAGTAACTGCTGCAGCTGTGAAGAATTCTTTGCAAGGATTAAAAAACTGAGGATCCAAATTTGCTACTGGAGACAAAAACCCCCACGAAACTAGAAAACCTCCAGATGGATTAACTTTAAAAGCAGTCTATCGTGATAAACACCTTTAAAACACATATTCCTAAAATTCATCCCTAATTTAAGCAAAGCCTACTCTGAAAAGGTCCCTATTAATTTTAGGATTGGCCCTCTACTCAAATCTGTAGCAAGCAGAAGAACTACATATATTTGTTTAAATAAACAATTTTTTTTTCTTTCTGAAAGAGATGATTCGCATCTTCCCCTTGTACAGAAGTTAAAAAACCTCACCAGACTGCCCTACTTCAAGGCAATTTACAAAATGGAGAACCAGAAAGATACATAGTGGCAAGCAGGAACTCCCACCCATTACCTTTCCAAGAAGAGAACAAGCTTCTATTTAATGCAGAATCAATTTCTTCATCACAAAGGCGGCAAATAAGATTCAAAGTTCAAATGTAAATGTACTACTTTTAACCTACAGACACAACACTTGAAAATTTTCCGGGAAAGAAAAATTTCTGAGCCCATTCTATCTTCCTGTATTTCTAAGACATCTGCAAGATCTGACCTGTGCTGGAGGAGGTCAGTGTCATTCTCACACACTCACCTCTCTCCAAACCACAGTTAAAAGCTGACCTACCTTCCAATGTTCTTCATGCGCATCTTGGCTTCTGGAGGCATTTCTTCTGGTTCACTCTGCAGAGAGAAAGGAGGTTAGAGCATGGCTGGGCACTTGCCTTTGAACATTTCAAATGCCTGACAAGATAAAGGATGGACTCCAGCCCCACAGGAAAGCAAAGAGACTTGGGACAGAACAGAGGTTCTACAAGGTTATAGACCGAAATACAAATTCCTTTGTTGACCTCTGTGTAAGAAGGAGCAAGATATCTATGACATGACAAGATATTTAGCAAACCAGAAGCACAACTTTCCTTCACCTCCCCTTTATTAAGCCCAGAAAAAGCAATCCTTAATTCAAATTATATAGTGCATCTCATTTTCAGGTAAAAGTTATCAGCACTTTAATGACTTCTTGAACCAACACAGAGCTACAAAGTTGTACATTCTTAAGCAGAAACAAGAGAGATGTTTCTGGGCTGAAAATTCCTGACATTTATGTAGAAAACTTTAAAGAACCCACTCTCTCTGCCTCCCACACCAATGGTATTTTGTGTTGATCACTGGCTTATTACTCACATCTTCATCTTCATTGAAAGCTGCTGCTACAGAAAGGGTTTTTGGAGCCAGGGTTGGAACAGGCTCTTTAGGCTTCTGAAAAAGACCAAATAAACAAGTAAAGTAAGTCTACTAACTCAAAAAATCTACCCTTGACCTTTAAAATATTTTGGTAAATGAAGTCAAACATCTTCACTGAAATGGGCAATCAGGGGGAAAAGTTTTTCTTTGAATCAAGCACATAAAGGTTTCTCTAACAAAAAAGGAAAAATGACTGCTTGTTTAAGTATGATACACTCTGAGCAAGCTCAGCCCTCTCATATTACAGCTCCCCACAAGGAGGTCTTAACTTTCCAGCACACTGCAAGGCTACTCAGCCACTGGTGCATGACATGAACAATTAAAAAGATCCTGGGTAAGTTGTGGTATTCAAAATTTTACTATGTCACTGTTTCCATTATTCTTTTGGAGTATTCTTATCCATCAATGTCAGAAAGATGAATATGTTTATTCTCCGGTATTTTAACAATATAACAGCTTTTTGGCTTAATTCGATACTTTCAAATGAGCATCAGTGTGTATCACACAGGCCAATTAATATAAAGCTCCTTTGAAAAGTATTATTTTTATTTCCAATAAAAACCTTCCTCCATTTAAAAGTGTAGGAAGCTGCCAAACTCACAACTGTTACAAGTAATACAACAGCGGTACCAAAAGTTGTTTTGACACCACTAAGAGCCAAGTCACCAGTAACAGTTTGCTTCTATAGTACTACCAATTATCTAAACCAATCACATACAGTGCTTTCTCCATTTTTACTTTATTGGTGATTATTTAAGATATACTCATAGAAGCTGATACTGCAGCAGAGTCCTTATGCAACTGTCTACAGCTGTTCTTTACTGACAGTGTACAACAGTAAACACCGTACCATATTTAAAGCATCTGCTCCGCAGGAATGGGTAATGTTCTAAGGGACTAAAAATGACTGGAAAGAAACAGGATAAGTTTCAGCACTGTCCCATCTGGTGCACTGTCAGTCACCCACTAAATGCAGTGAGCCAGAAATCCTGAGCCCAATTTATTGCCACTGCAAGCATCTTCTGACCTAAGAAACTGAAGCATGCTGGTGGCTCAGAGAAGGCAGCTCTGTCAATTCTTCCTCAGCCTGAGCTGACCTGATTGCATTCATACCCTAGAACGCTGCCAGCCCACATCTCCCATCTCAAAGTAACAGAGCACTCTTTTAATCTTTTGCAGATCTGTAGAATGCTGGCACTGCAGGTGCAAGCCTTTCATGATTACAGTTTGAATTTAATGCAGACAAGGATTTATAATGTATCCATCACAGTGGTAGGCAGGAAACGTAAATGAACTGTATTAGATGGAGAGGCAGTGCCAGGCTTGTCCTTCCCCAAGCTATAGAGGACTGCTTTTGAAGTAAAGAGACTCATCAGATTCACATCTAAACAAGCACAAGGATACCTTGTACCGGACAATAAAGGGCATCAGAATTCCTAGCAACCTATGTAACGAAGCCTCGTGTCTTGCATAAAGTACAAATGAATCATACTGACCTTGCAAAGCACAGGCAAAGTCATGAAAAATCAACTGTACTTCCCCATCCAGAATAAGATCTTTGGAGTGGAAGGCAACCTATTAAGCCATCTAAGAGATGCTTTCTTGCAGCTTTAAGCATCCTATAGCATGAGGTTCCCAGCACTCATTTCAAAGTAGCCTGAGCAGTTTAACAAGTCTGCTCATTTCCCTCAGGAAATTATTCCAGACTTATCAAATCTCATTATGAAATTATTCTCTATGTTCAAAGATCAACAGTTCATTTCAATCAAGTCTTTTGCTTCCTAAGACAACTGACCTGTTATTAATCACCCTGAAGTACTTACACATGCACAACTAGTTGGCCCTGCAATGCCTGTTTAAACTTTATCCAAGTTACCCTCATGGAATTCAAGGTTTCCCTTTGTGAGGAAGCCTTCCCAAAGTGCTACCCTTTTTGCCTCAGTTTCCCTAAAATTAAAAGCCCTTGGGCAACTTACATTTGCTCCTAGTTTGATGGATATTGCAGATGCCTTCTTTGTTGTCTGACTGCCTATGGAAAATCCAAACTTGGACATTTTGGCAGGAGCAGGCTTTGTGGTGAAGTCTTCGGCTTCTTCATTAGCTGCCCGTTTCTCTGCGCTGCGACTCGAACTTTCTCCTCCATTACTGGAAGAAACAGTCTTAGTTTTCACAGGTTTTTCTGCCTCTTCTTCAGGTCCTGGTGAAGTCGAAACAACTTACCAAGATGAGCTACTTTTACTGAGCAGATTGATGGGAGCAGCAACCTCAAAAAGCATTATACTTTGGGTGCAATAGGTAAGGTGTTTTTAGTGACAGCAGTTTCCACCAACGTACATTTAGTGGACAGCAAAACACAAAGAGGAGAAGAAACTGCAAGCACTCCACTACTGGTAAAGAACTTCTTTTGTATGAGCCAGGAAAACAATCTTGAAGCACCATCTCTTTTATTTAGTATGGAAGTCAAAGTTCACGTAGTAAATTACATGTAGATGACTAAATCTTTTTAGGGTTTTAAGTTGCCATGATAAGCTTTGATAACTGGAATCCCAATTCCAAATCTAGAGTAGATAATCTAAGTTAAAATTAATTCTACTAAATTTCTACAAAATCATGTCCATGCCAGTCTCTAGGCTTGTCTGGCACAACTCTAAAACCATGGGAGTGACTGCAGTGAGGCCGGCTGTCTCAATCATCTTTCAAGTCACTGCTTGTCCGCATCTCATCTGTAATAAATCTGCCAAGCTCTGCTTGAGGAAGGAATCAGCACTAAAAAAACATATATATATATTTCACCTTTTCTAGGTTTGTATAAAGTCATGGAAAACATAGCAGCTGAACAGTGAACCACAGATTAAAAAACACTCCAGTAACATTTCCATTCCTACATTATCAGCTTCTTCAGCTACACCAAGGGACAAAGGTGTCCTTGGAAAACTCACACTGAACATAGTAAATGCTTCAGCAAAAAGACACTTGCCTGCTGCTGCAATAAGCAAATCCCTGCAGTAGCAGGAGGAAAAAAAAAAACCCAAAACACATTAGGGAATGGACAGGGAAGTGCTCACAGTAACAGTTTAAGAAAAACTGGAGTTAGCACCAGTTCGTCATCGTATCAAGTGGAGAATAGGACATTCCATGCACAGCAAGTTCAGACCATCAGGGAAAAAAGCTAATGGCAAAAAGCTACTAAGTAAGATGGAGCAATGGGAGAGAAGAAAGTCTGAACTGGAGGTCAACAATACTGTAGCTCTGAGGAAAAAAAAGCAGCAAACAACATCAGGACAGAGGAAATCTAGGGACACCATCTATATACATGTATTTGCTATTTCCCAAATCATAAGCAGCAGAATATACCATTTCAGCAGCATTTCTACCCCACTCTTCCAGCTATCAAGATAAGTGATTGAAACAAAAATAGATTCATTGTTCGCCTTTGGAAATATGGCAGATCACAAAAAATATTTTGTAACTTTAATCAGTTTCACTAGAAATTTGACCCAGAAAGCATAGATATAACAGTGAAAAACCAAAGAGGAAAGAGAAACAAGCAAAATTTACACAAGTGACCTTGGGTACTGGTACCTGACTTAGCACAGTTTACCAAACAGCAATCTGCAAGACTAGAAGGTCTTTACAGCTAGTCCATGGAACTACTTTAAACAGAATATTCCAAGTCTAGCCTAGGTACACTAGAGAATGTGACTCAAGGGTAGGTAGGAGATTCACTGGCCTTAAAAGTGCTGGAACCATGGGCCTAAAAGTCTATTTTTTCATAATATACAAAATCCACAGCAGCCCAAATCTCAGGGCACACAGGACCAGTCCAGGTTCTGAAACTAGTGCTAGCTTGAAGCTAATTACACTGAAGCTTACTTCTTTCAGGGAAAATTCTCAAATACTGCTAAGCACAAGGTGAAGCCTAACACAAGCTACTCACATCTGTTTTCTCACCAAATTTTAAGGAGCATCTCTCTCAAAATTAGCTCCTATCACTGCATTCTGAGTTTTACTTCTACTAGGCTTGATGTAGGATGAACTGCAGAGCTGTAAGGGGCACAGGACAATTGGGGAAGGTGGGCAAGGAGCTGCTGTGCTGTTTGATTTCTGCAGAAAACAGAAATGCAGACACATATTAACCATGAAACAGGTCTCTCCCATGCCAATGCATGCATATATATATATATATATTCCAAAACATTAAGGTTTCTTTACTATTTCCTAGAGATATCAAGGAGATCACACTTCACCTACAGAAAGCACTAGCACTATTTCCAAAACTAGACTGATCGGTGCTGTTTTTGTGGATCACAGAAATAAAAAGCTGTCCTACTGCACAGAGGAGTTTTACTCATGTGTAACAAACCACACGAGTGCACAACTTCCACTCTCCAGGTGGTTGCAGTGACAAGACTGACAGTGCCAGCTGCACAGCATTCCAGGATCTCTTGTCTCCAGGAGTGCGACCACTGGTGGAGGTGGGAACAAACCAGACACAACTAAGTTAATTCTAAGATAAACCCCACTAACCCTGGCAAAGGCTAAAGATTCCAAACTGCTTTCAAAAATCATCAAGAGCTAACTATTCTTCCTTAGGGCCAAGGTACCATAACTCATTAAGACCATGTTGCAGCACACCAAACAGCACACAGGGCACTAAGGATTACTGATGCTCTCCAGATACTGTACTACTAATACAAAAAAAACCCAAAAAATCAAACCCAAAGGCCCACCAAAAACCAACAGAGAACCAAGAGTCAAGGAACTATCTAAAAATCAAGTATTACTGTTCAAATGTCAGTGATTATCAGAAATAACATTCACTGTTGAGGCTGTCCTAACTGGTTTACAAGCCTGATTTAATTTTTCAGCAGATCAAACAAATGCCCTCTGTTTACAGATATATTTAAGCTGAAAAAAACCCACCAAAACCCAACTACAACACAAATAGAAACACACCAGGAAAAAAAAGTTTTATGTTTGAAAAGACATTATCCTCTCAACTTTAAATCAAGGGAAGAAAAAAGAAAAGCAACATCCCATTAAAAATTTTCGAATAGTGCAGAAAAGACAAGGCTGTCCAGTCACAATATAAATACTATCAAACCAAACCATAAACTTACAGGTTGCTGCCAAGCAAAAAAAACCCAAGATGCTTAAAAAGGCAATTAAGGAATATTCACTGTACTCATATGTAAAAAAGGTACCGCGGCTGCTAAAAGTAAAGCTTTAAGGTGTTGTCTTCATCCTTGCAGGCAGCAACAACCGAATTTCTCTCAAAACACAGCATAAGTATCCCGCGTATTTTTAACAGAGAGAAATAGCACATTTGCGTGGAGAAGATGTCACAGTTTTACAAAAGTGCCTGTAAGGCTGAGGACAGCAGGCCCAGACTCGGCCTATCCTCCAGCGCAGCCCCCTCAGGCCCGGGCCGCCCCCTCTCCCCGCAGGGCCGGGCATCACACGGCCCGGCCCGGGCCCGCCCGGCCGGGGGAGGCACTCCTGGGCCCTCCCCACCCCTGCGGGACCAGCGCGGACCCCATTCCCACCCCACAGCTCCGCGGCGAGAGGCGCTACATGTTCACCTCCTGCGGGCTGCGGCCGCTTCGCCTTCTCCCCCTCGGCTCTGCCGTCCGCCATTTTCCCCCGCCTCCGCCGCCTCCCGCGCCGCGCACGCGCCACGCGCCGGCCCCGCCCCTCCGCGGGGCCCCGCCCCTGCGGCGCGCGGGGACGGCCCGGCGGGCGCAGATGGGCACCGGTCCCCTCCCCTTCCCATCCCTCACCGGGAGCGCCAGCCCCCGGCACCGCCAGCTGAGCCGCCGCGTCACAGGCGTGTGGAGGAATCGCGGCCGCTGCCGCGCTGACCGGCGCGCCCTCCCCGCCGCGCGTGGTTTAGCGATTACGGTCCGTGTTTCACCAATATCGTGACCTCGTTACCTCATCGGGGTGTATGAGGATCTATGGGCAGCGGGGGCGGGAAGTGCCAAGAGGATGGAGCCAGGCTCTGCTCGGCGGTGCCAAGCAGTAGGACAGGAGGCAACGGGCAGAAACTGAGGCACAGGAAGTTCCAGCTCAACTTAAGGAAAAACTCCTTTACTGTGCGCCTGAGTGTGCACTGGGACATTGCCCTGAGAAGGTGTGGAGTCTCCCTCACCGCAGATATTCAAGAATCATCAGGACACAATCCTGTGCCACGTGCTCTAGGATGACCCTGCTTGAGCAGGGAGGTTGGACCAGATGACCCACGGTGATCCCTCCCAACCTGACCCGTTCTGTGATTCTGTGACTGTAACACGAGCTCAAGTGAGCAGTGACACCATTTCCCCTCCCCAGTGTGCAAACCAGTCACAGAGGAGGCTGTATGGCAAACAGCAAATGACAGGAGGGTCATGGTACCCAGCCCGCAGCGGGGTTTTGGAACTTCTTTAAGGCCCCTTCCAACCCAAACCATTCCATCATTCTATGACACGCAGCAGCTCCATGTTGTCTCTTCCTCCTGTGAAGAAAAAGGGGCTGCCCAAGTGTGGCACAGACACTCACACAGCCCGTCCTTGCACCTGAGGGCTTCATAGGAGCTGAGGACAGCTCTCAAGCAGCACCTGAAACACCACCCTAGGGTGAAGCTTTGTGTACTGCCCAACCATAGACAGCTGAAAGGAACCAGGTCTTTCCATGAGCCAGGGGTTATCCATGCCTGGAGACTCCTGTGCCTCACAGGCAGTGAGAGGCAGTATTGGAGTAGAGAATCTTCTGCTTTCCCCCCTCAAAACGATGTGTACCAAGAGGTGAGACAGGGAGTGCACACCACCAACCCCTGGTATATTTGAAGTCTACTCTGTGAAATTATACTCCCCTCTCCTAGTTTTTTTCATTTTCAGGACCAAACTCACCACCTGCCATCACTGACTTCAAGCATCAGGGTAGTTGACTAAATTAACAATTTAAGCACCCCTTAAAACCCTTCTTGTGCTCCAGACAGAAGGGTCTCTCCTCCTGAAATACTAATAGGACATTTTATCACCTCAAAAGTTCCAGCACTGTGGGAAATTTACATTACATGGCCTGAAAACACAGGCACTTGGGGATAAAAGCTTTTTATTTTTTTTGCACGGTCAAGAAATTTGATTTATTCCTTTCAAACAGGGACTTGATCTGTGCCAGACAGAACATCTAGAAATAAAATGGGCAGCTCCACAAACTCAAGCAAGGTTTTTCCCATTTGTTTTTAGTTCAGCATCCAAAAGTCAATGCATCTGCACACTAAAAGAAGATCCAGGAAGTAATGGGGAGGTCTCTTCTACTTCATCTTCGTAATCTTTTAGCATAAAACTATAGACAGCCTCCAACCACTGCAAATCGAAAGCAGGGAGGTGTTCTCTGAAGAATGACCTTTGCATTCAGTTACAATCACCCTTGTCCCAGCATGGTTCAACAGAACGGACTGATATTCTTTGTGCAGAGTAATTTTTTTAGAACATATTATCTCATTTCTCTTACATAATTTCAATAATGTGTGCATAAATTTAAACAGCTGGACTACTAAGGTAATTAAAAAAAAAAAGGCAACCCTAACAGCAGTCATTTCAAACTTAAGCAACAAAGACATGTTTTGAGATAAAGAGCTGAACAGAGTTTTAAATGTCCCAAGAAACTGGAGCATTAAAGGGCACAGTTTGCCTGTAAAAAAAAAAAAAGTCATTCTCTTTTCCATCACTCTACTTTTGCTTTAGTTTATACTTCTTAGGGTAGTTCTTGGCAAATTGCTTTTGTACTTCTTCCTGTCTCTTTCCAAGTTTAAGCGTGTTCACCAGGTCTAAGGTTTTTTTCAGTTCACTTACAGGCTTGGTTACAAAGCCACGATATTTCCTTTTTGGAACAAACTCTAGAGCCTTCTTCCAGTCGGCAGTATCTTTCAAGGTTAATAAAATATTCATCATTTGATCCAGTGTAAGATTTTTGCCACCAGTATTCCAAAGCAAGTATTTATCCAGCGGAAGGGCTGCAGTTTCCAATCCCAGTCGCTTCGCCCGTGCTAAAGAGACTCCTGTTTTTATGCTCTTGTCAACCATCGACCCGACAATATAGATTTTATCGTGATCAAATGTTTTCATCACTTTGGGAGAGTCAGCTGTCAGATAGATGAGCTTATCCTTTGGAAAGACTTCTGTGTAGCACTGCTCTGTCACAGTGATAAGCAGCTTGCCCCATGCCTCTTTATAATGCTTAAGAAATTCCCTATGATAGAGGCTATCATCCTTGAAGTTACAGAAGTGGATGTGGAATGGATCCACAGCCCTCCGATTGCAGCCTTCACTCTGGACCAGCTGTTTCACTGTGTTTGCAACTTCTCGGACAGACATTTCTTTTTCGTAAGACATGTCAAATATCAGAGGCTGGCCAAAGATCATGGACTGAGCAGCCCTCCAGTTGTAGGCTTTATCCATAGTGCTGGCCCACAAAGATAAAAACGGACTCTTTTTGGTTTCATCCATTTTTGAAGTTTGCTCTTGTGGTTCCAGCTTCCTTTCCCTTTTCTCTTCCATCTTTCTTTTGTCATTTTTCTTGTAAAGTTCTTTGAGATACAAAAACTTTAAATACTTCTTTTTGGCTGACTTGGAAGGACACTCCATAAACGTTTTTAGCTGTTCTTCACTGACATTTTCTGGAACTAATTTGCCAGCTAGTCTCCACATCTCCAAAGTCTCACGTGCAGCAGCCAAACTGGAAAGCTCCTGAGGCTCAGAGACCGTCTCACTGACCTCTTCTTGCAACCCAGACTTCATTACCTTCTTCCATGCATCTAAATCTAGTTTTTCTGAGGGTTTGCATGAGTTGTCCTGCTTCAGACAAAGTGATAAACTCAGAGTTCTACTGAGTGGAAACAAATCCCTTTTCATCCCATGTTGTGCAGCAACTGGAAGGACAGAACTTCTTACTATTTTTTTCAGAAGCATATTAGCAGACTGCATACTTAGACATGCACTGTGTTCAAACACTTATCTGCAAAACACCAACAGAAGGAAAAACAACTCGTCAGAATTCACAAAGAAAACACGCACTAATTTTTATTCTTAGTAACACAGACAATAGCTTAATTCTTGGAGAATACTAGAAATTCCTATTTCCACTGTTACTTTTTTTACTGTTTCCTAAATAAAAACAGTATGTATGACACCACTGCTTAAAAAAGCTATACTTACTGCAATTCAAAATGTGGTCAAACAACCTCCAAGTACTGTCCAAGATCTGTACCAGGTTTTCTGTATCATATGATGAGTAGGAGCCTTTTCAACCTAAGTCAGTGAAATGCTGCATGGACACCAGAAATATTTTTATACACCAAATTTATCTATGCTGTGAAAAGAGAAAGAAGAAATGGAAGAATAAGCAACCAGCATATGAAAGGGCCATCTTTTTTCTTTTTACTAAACTGCCCATTAAGTTGGTATTGGCACATAAAGCTAAGGAGATAAACCCTACAGCCCCATTAATTTCATATTTGTATTTAAATGCGAAAGGTCTGCAGAAAAAAAACACCCAAGACTGTTTAATATTTTCTTTGCCCTATGCACACTACAGAATTAAAATCAGTGAAGTTTCAATGCTTGAGAAAACATGATTTGATCAAAACTAAAATTAGCTCAAAATTTTGAAAACAAAATTCATGATCTCCCTAATAACCTAAAAATAATTTGATGTACAGAAGAACAAGTTAAATCTAATTTTGGGGTTATATATATGTACCTGCTCAGATGAGGCACAGAAAGAGCTGTGTATTAAGAAATGTGACATAACCTGACCTGCTTTTACTATACACTAACTGGTCAAACTGGTGACCAACTTCTCATTTACTACTGTTCTTAAGATAAAAGGAACAAAAACAAACAAACAACCTAACAATGTGAAAGTTGAGAAGTGTTACTATAGAGGTGTTCCTAATTTTACATTTCACCATTAAACCTAATGGCAAAAATAATAATCAAAGAAGTATTTTGTCTAGCTTGGAGAAATCAAGGGATAAGTTCCTCAATTAACTTATATTACTGGAGCTTCAATTAAATCAATATTTAAACACCAGATTTACACAATCAGAACACTTGGTGACAGCTTTTGATAGAGCCAAGTTACCTTCCAGTGTGTCCGACATTCACACTAACATCATTACTGCAAGATTCAATCTAAACCTCTTTGAAGAACTTAAGATTTGTAACACATAAATTTTTTTTTTCTTTTTTAGCTTCACCATAACTAATCTCAGGCACAGAAAAGCCCTTTACTGATACTTCAGAGACTGAATAACTCTTCTTACTTCCCCAGCACAGCTGCCCACACACGGAATCACAGTCTGGGACAGGTTGGAAGGGACCACTGTGGGTCATGTGGTCCAACCTCCCTGCTCAGGCAGGGTCATCCCAGAGCACGTGGCACAGGATTGTGTCCGGATAGTTCTGGAGTATCTCCAGTGAGGGACACTCCACACCTCCTCTGGGCAACCTGTTCCAGCGCGCTGTCACTCACCCAGTAAAGAAGTTCCTCCTCATATCCAAGAGGAACTTCCTGTGCATCAATTTCTGCCCAATGCCTTTTGTCCTATTACTTGGCATCACCGAGCAGAGCCTGGCTCCGTCCTCTTGGAACCCTTTCTTTAGATGTTTATTCACATTAACGAGGCTGCCCGTAGGGGGACACACCAGGCCAGGGCACGCAGTCATGCGGCTCTTCCAGAGCAGCACGGCCCGCTGCTGAACAACTCCTAAACCGGCCACGATCACCCGAGCGATCACCCACGCCAGGTCACCCTCCAGACCCAGCTGTGCCCTCTCCCCTCTCCAGAACACCGGCGCGCCCTCCCCACGCTGGGCGGGACCCACGGGCACCGCGGCCTCCGGGGCACCGAGAAACACCTGCCCGAGCTCCGGCCGCGCTCCCCCCCGCCCGAGCTCCGTCGGGGCAGACCACGCAGACCCCGGCGGTCACCGTGGGCGCCGGGGCCGCTCCGGCCACGCCGCCAACCGGGCTCACCTCGCGGCGCCGCTGCGCCTGCGCCCGGCGGGCCCGGCCCGATCGCGGTGCCGTGCCCCTGGCCTTCCGCCGTGCTCCGCAGCTGCGCGCCCACCGTTCCGGGCTCCCTTCGTCCCCACGGCGGGGCCTGCGGCGTGCGGTGATCCCAGCTTTTCCGTGTTCCGTCCCGGGGGTGCGGTGGGGTCTTGATGCGGGGCAGGGTCTGGCCCCGCCGCCAGGCTGGTCTGGGACTGGGGCGTGAGGCAAACGCTGGGACCCGAGGGGTTTGTCAGCTCGGCGTGGTGGTCTGTGATTTCTCTTCCTCTCTCCTTGTCTGCCTCCTCTCTCTCCCCCTCTCTCCCCAGTCTCTCTCTCTTTTTTTTTTTCCCCAAATTTTTTTATTTAATACCGAGGAGAGTTTCGATTATTTGTCCCAGGTGGTTGTTGTTGTTGTTTGATGGTGGCTTGTTCTGGTTTTCTGTTGTTTCCGCCAAACACCCACAAACAGCTGTCAGGTGGGGATTTAACTGGAAGCGGTGATCTGTCGTGATGAGTTTTCTGCTGCCCAAACTGACCTCGAAGAGGGAAGTGGATCAGGCAATAAAAGGTGTGGCTGAGAAGGTTTTGGTTCTCCGTTTTGGAAGAGATAGTGATGCTGTTTGTCTGCAGCTCGATGATATTGTAAGAGTAATTTCTTTTTTTTTTTTTTTTATGAACTCCACAAATACAGCTGTTGCATACAGGGGAATATCATATGTTGCTTTTGGCTAGTATGGTGCCTCATGATAAACTTGTTGACAATTAAATGTAGAATGAAATTATACTATATTCATAAAAAGGTTTGAAAAGCAAGTAAATGTTTGTGTTATTATTGTATTGGGTGTAAAAAGTGTTTGAGGTAGACAAGACATGATATTCTAGCCCTGCTTAAACTGATAAGACATAAGAGAAATGGGCTTATCAAGCTTGCCAGCCTCTTTTCCTCTTGTGTCTCAGTCCATTTGTCATGCACTTTTCTCACTCTTTTCAGCTTGCAAAAACAGCTCATGACCTAAGTAAAATGGCAGTCATTTACCTGGTGGATGTGAACAAGGTCCCAGTGTACACCCAGTATTTTGACATCAGTTACATTCCATCTACTGTGTTTTTCTTCAATGGACAACACATAAAGGTTGATTATGGGTGAGTCATCCTACCTGGCATTCTCTGTTATGTTTGTAAGAACAATCAGTCTTTCTCTGTTACCATGGGAAGGGAACGCGTAAAACCTATAATGTCGTTACCAGCATCTGCACTGAGAACTCTGTGGGAAGCCAGAAGAAACTAAAATAGAGAAGCATTTTGAAATATGCTCTGATGCAGTAAGTGGGTGTTGACTGTCAAATAGGCCTGACTCTGCAAAAATAGTAAAAAAATGGTTAAAGTCTGAGATGAGACCTGTTTGAGGACCTGTTTGAGCTTTGGAGGTCCCAGTATATTCCTGGCTTGGTTGTGCCATTACAGGGTGTTCATTCTTTCAGCATGACCAGATCAGAACCCCTCATGTCATCATACATATTTTCACATCTTTAGGTGTTTTTGCTTTGAACATTTTAACATTATAATTCTACCTTTATCTTATGGTTATATTTAGGTCTCCAGATCATACCAAATTTGTAGGAAGCTTCAAAACAAAGCAAGACTTTATAGATCTGATTGAAGTGATCTACCGTGGAGCAATGCGTGGAAAGCTCATTGTGAGAAGTCCTATTGATCCCAATAACATTCCTAAATACGACCTTCTCTACCAAGGAATTTAATGGGTTGACCTGAGGTAAAGAATTACAGAAGTGGACGATGTTCTAGATCCTTTTTTCTTCACCTCTGACGCAGTGGGACAGTTTTGAGTGTTTATGCTGAAGGATCATATTGGTCTCCTTCTGAAGACAGACATTCTGTCACCTCGTGCTTTTCTCATAAATAAAGCTTCATGTTCTTGCACAGAGTTTACACAAGTGACTGTTCTTTGAGTTTCATGCTGACCAGCCCCTATAGAACAGGCAGGTTGTGTGCATCTTCAACCTTCTGAAGTGAACCAAGGCACTGTAAAGTCTATTAGGTGTCTATTCTGTACCATTTTCATTCACATATAATGACAGTAAACCTTACTTTATTAGAAAAGCTGTCCTTGCTCTCAAGAGCATTCAACTAACTGTGCCTTTCCAATGGAATTTTGCACTTTTACCCATGCTGGATAACAGGACAGAAGCTCCTTCCAACAGTATTAGCGATGACTGAAATCTGAAATGGATATAAACACAAAAGGGAGGTTGGTCTTGTTCTCGAGTATTACTGTTCAACAGTTTTTTTGACTGAGATGGGAACCTACTACTACACTTGCAGGAGAAGGTTTTGCCATCCTTCAAAGCTCTTTTGCAGCC